AATTTGAAGCCAAGTTTAAGGTCCAATATATGTATTATGCCTACATGTAATATGTCAAGTACGACGCGTGTCTACTTGTTTAATTTTATACAAATTTAAGTATCTACTAATGCACACCCAAAACTAGAAGACATAACTACTAGCTAAAGCCAAACTAAATGATACATTTATGTATCATGCCAAAACAAATTGACAAGTTTTCTTGTTTACATTATTGTTGTTTGTGGGAGATGTACCATCAGTTGGCATATTTTCTTCCTCATAATTTACATCACTAGTACTACGCCTAAATAGGGCATAGACTAGACGTACAAGGAAAAAAGAGCAAAACGTGTTTACTCTGCCTAGATAAAACCTAACATTCCTTGCATGTACTTATTTGTATTGAGGTTTTTAATTTATTATTAATAATAACGTTAAACACTTTGTCTAGTAGTATAAATTTGAGGGGGGGAATTGAATATTACACGGAGAAATTAAGTGGAAAAAAGGAATTTTGAGGGAAACCAACATTGTGAAGAAGGCTTCGTTCTTACTTTAAGGGAAGGAAGTTTCACAGAAAATATTGGAGTTGCTTCCAAGTAAATACTTACCCGCCCTGCGAATATTTATATCAAATATATGATATTCTTAGAAAAACAGTCGAGACTAAAAAAAAAATTTAAATTTTTAAATAAAAAAAAAATATATACTCCCTCTGTCCCAATTTATATGACTTACTTTCCTTTTTAGTCAGTCCCAAAAAAGAATGACACATTTCTATTTTAAGTAACAATTTGCCTATAAAATGTCTTTTTTACCCTTAATGAAATGATTTACAACCACATAAATTTCTATCATTCATTTTGGACCACAAGTTTTAAAAGTCTTTCCATTTTTCTTAAAAGTTTGTGTCAAATCAAAGTACATCATATAAAATGGGACGGAGGGAGTACTATCAAATAATTTAATATTATCACGTAAGCTAAAAGATGTACAAAATTATAGGAAAAAAATGAGTTTGGAGGTAATAGGACCTTAGTTTAGTTAAGGTATCTCTGAGATTTCGATCATAATCTAGGGGGTACTTGTGCCAGTGCCTTATCCAAAAGTTAAATAATAATGTCAAAAAACACACTTAAACTATCATTTTTTTGCAAGTCTCGTATCTACACGGACTATTAGTTGTACCCTTTTTCTACATGAAATATCACTAGTTATGTATTAGAACACACTTCCAAACTGATTAAGCCAATTATAAGTTGTTCCCTTTTCCTATCCGAACTATGACCATTGAGGTATGTTTCAATACATAGATGGTGATAGTTAAGGTAGAAAAAGAAAATACCTAATTGTTGGAGTGTACAAACTCACGTAAAAAAAAGTGATAATTCTGATGTTTTTTTACTATTATCTCTGATCTAACTAGTAACGTTAAGGAACTATATGGAGATTAGAGATACTTACAACTTGTCAAGGTGAAAAGCAAGGTTGATGATTCTTCTATGTTGAGCCCATTTATCTGCTTCATAGTTCAAGATTCCTTCGTGTAGCAGCTTCGTGATTACAGGGGAAGGCATCTGGAAAATATTAGTACTCATTAGTGCAAATTAAAAACATGGCATAATATATAAATGGGATAATACATATATTTGACCTTAAACTTGACTTCAAATTTTAACTTTGACCTCCAACTTTCATAGTGCACAAACAAGCACTTTAACTATCCAATCTTTTAATAAATAAACACACGATTTTTGGAGCCAAGAGCGTGAAATGCAAACGCTGCCACGTGTATTAGCGAGCCACTCAATGGCTGCCAACTAATTAAACACTTTACACGTCCATTTTAGAACTAAAAAA